AGAGTTTTGCAGGAGATGTGGGTTTCAAACCCAGTTCATCTAATAGATGATGTATGCATAAGATTTTCTATGTGAATTAGGCCATAGTTCTATATTCGGACTCTGCACTTGAGCGAAATATAACTGTTTGCTTCTTATTTTTTCATTAGACAAGATTTTCACTAATAAAAACACAATAACTCGTAATAGACTTCCTATCAATCTTAAATCTAGTACAATCAGTATCTGTAAAATATTCAATTTGAGTATGCTCATGATTTCTAAATACTATGCCGAGACCTGGAACACCTTTTAAGTAACACAAAATTTGTTCCAAAGCTTTTTAATGTTTGACTGTAGGTGTCGATATAAATAGCTAGCAACACTGACAGGGTATGCAATATCTGTACGAGTCATAGTGAGGTAATTCAATTTTCTAACTAATCGGCTATATTTCTCTAGGTCATCAAGAGGATCACTATTACTTTTGTAAGATGTACATGTGGTACCATTGCCGTATTGCATGGCTTAGCTCCCAACTTGCTTATTTTTGCAAATATATCAAGTACATTCTTTCTCTAAGATAATAGAATCCATTCTTTACTTGTTACTTCAACCTCCAAAAAGTATTTTACTTGTTCTAAGTTTTTGGTATTGAACTTGGTATGCAAGAATGATTTGAGAGAGGATATTCCTGCATGATCATCTCCTACAATCACAATATCATCAACATAAATAATAAGAAGTATAATAGCAGCTGTTAATTCTGTATAGAAAATTGAATGATCACATTTGCTCTTCTTTAATTTGAACTCACATACGATCTCACTAAACTTGTCAAATCACACACAAAAACTTTGTTTCAGACCATACAAAGATTTCTTCAAATGACAAACTTTCTGTACTCTTCCTGAGCAACAAACTCAGGTGGTTGCTCCATATATACTTCTTCTAAGAGATCACCGTGTATTTAATATTCAGCTCGTGTAAGGGCCAATATCGGGAGATTACAATAGATATGAATAAACGGATACAGGTAAATTTGGTCACTGTAGAGAATGTATTAGAATAATCCACCCCATAAGTCAAAGTATAGTCTTTCGCTACTAGTCAAACTTTAACTCTTGCCACAAAGACATCTAGATTTACTTTGATTGCAAATACCCATTTTCACCCTACCGCTTTTTTTTCTTTGGGTAAATCTAGTAGATCTCAGGTATGATTATCATCAAGAGTATTTACCTCCTCAAGTATAGCATTACACCAACTAGGGTTTTTCAGAACTTTCTTAGCTATCTTGGGTATAGAAGTTGAATTTATGAAAACAATTAAAATACTAGACGAAAGAGAACAAATGGTCATATAATATAAAATTAACAATGAAATAAGTTAGCATAGGAATGGCGCACCGACGTTTACCTTTACAAAGACTAATGGAAATATCAAGGTCTTGTGAGGCAGGATCAGATGACAACAGATCTGGTGCAGGACATGTACCATTAGTTTGTTGTTTTTTGGAATAAATATGAATAATTGGTGGCGGTATTTGAGTTAAAGACACACGAACACTATCATTAACTTCTCAAGTAGAGTTGGAGGCACATCATCTGGAGAAATACTTTTATTTGTTTGCTTAGTAAAGGCACCTGGTGTGAAACTATAAATTAACCATTTGTTGTCCCCCTTCTGACTTGTAGACTTACACGATGAAGAGAAGAGCGGTATATTTTCTGAAAAAAGTACATTAGTTGATATTAAATATTTATTGAGATCTGAAGAGTAGTACTTTTATCTTTTTTGGAGGCGAGAATATTTCAAAAATACACACTTTAAAGTCTTTGGGTCCAATTTTGTCATAGTAGATCGCACATCTCGAACATAACAGGTGCTACCAAATATTTTAGATTGCGTCAGTAACAGATTTGTTTGGAAAAAGAAGACATACAGATTGCGCCGGTAACAGATTTGTTTGGAAAAAGAAGACTATAAGGAACATCCCCATCAATATGTGTGCTCACAAGGCTTAAAAGAGCCCATGGTATGAGTTTATGAAAAAAAATCTTGATGCAATGGCCTAGGTTTTGGAGAATCTGCTATGGAAGGCTGATAGGGGCAATAAAATCATATGTTGGAAAGATATTTGGATAGATAATATGTGTTTAATGAGGAGGTTTTCCAAAATTTTTTTGCATTTCTCAGACAAAAAATATGCTGATTCAGGATGCTTACAAGATTAATAATGGTTGTGCTAAATGGCTGATCAATGTCTCGAGAAATCTGCAGGATTGGGAACTCTACGAGTTTGAAAATTTGTTACTGTTACTGGCTGCTCAACAGGTGTCTGCTGGGGATGACAGGATGATGTGGAAGTTGGATAAAAGTGGAGTCTTCAGTCAAATCTTATTACAAGCACTTAACTGACAAAAACAACGTGATAAGTTTTGATTTTCCCTCTAGGCAGATCTGGAAGGCGAAAGTTCCCCTTAGAGTTGTTTTTTTTGCATGGGAAACAAGTAGAGAATGCATCTTGACAATTAATAAACTTAAAACTAGGGGATTAGTCATTCCAAACCAGTGCTATTTGCGTATGGCTAATGAGGAAAGTTGTGTGCATGTTCTGTTGCGGTGTCCTGTGGCCTCTGGATTGTGGAATGCTATTTTTAGTTTGATTGGTGTTAACTAGGTGATGGCTGGATTTATTAGGAAAGAATTGTGGGCTTGGGATGGGATTTATGTTGAGAGGAAGTTGAAAAATCTAATTCCTTTTATCTTTGTTTTGGATTCTTTGGAATGAGAGAAATTCTAGAGTTTTTTAGGGTAAAACTAATGATTTGTATAATTTGAAAGATAGGTGGTTGCATTATTTTAGATTTTTATTATTAAGACATGATATGATTAGTGATGTGGATTTTGGGTATGTCATTGATTCACTAGCAATATTGTAAAGGTTTTGTAAATGGGTGGTACCTCCAATTGTTTGGTACCATGTTAATATAATTTCACACTTTTTATTTAAAAAAAAAGAACATCTTTATCAAACACTGGAGATACCATACGATTAATCAAAAAATAAACTATGAAAATGACATCAGACTAGAATTACGTAAGGACTTGTGTTTGAACCAGGAGGGCTTTAGCTGTCTCAAGTAAATGTCTGTTCTTCTTTTTGGCGACCTCATTTTAAGATGGTGTATCAACACATGAGGATTGGTGAAGGATCTCGTGTTGAGTCATATACTTTTAAAATGAATATAACATATATTTCTTAGCATTATCACTCCTCAATACATGCACATAAATATTGAATTATGTCTTGACTTCAATACAGAAAGCACAAAAATGAGAAAATATTTCCGAACGATTCTTTATAAAATATATTTAAGTCATTTGAGAAAAATCATTCACAAAAGTGACGAAATATTTGGAACCAGTTTTGGACGGAACAGGGTAGGGGCCCTAAATATCATAATGAAATAAATCAAAAGCAGATTCATCTCGTCTATTGACCCTTGGACTTAATAGATTACGGTAATGTTTTGTAAAGCGACATGACTCATAATCCAATGAGGGTACATTATGGAACTGAGGATATAGTTTCTTCAACACAGGTAAAGATGGATGTCCTGATTGACAATGTGTTTCAAATGGAGAGATAATATTAGAGTAAGTAACTGATCGAGGTACCCAAGTATAAAAAATGTAAAGATCATCTCATATATTTCTTTTACCAATAATCTGATTCGTTATAAGATTTTGAATAATAATGATCAGAAAAAGATGTAAATTTACTCACATAAATCATATTGAAGGTAAGTTTAGTTAGACTTAATACAGATGACAGAGTAATACATGATGTTGGTTTTGTGGTCCCTAAACCCATAATATTATATGTCGACTAATCAGCAATAGTTATAGGAAAATGTGCTTTGTGTGGTTGAAAATTAGAAAAAATATTAGAATTACCTATTATGTGGTTTGTAACACCAGAATCAATCACCCATCTGTTTGAAGAGTAGATAAGATATTTTTTCTCTAATTCAGCAAGAACAGAAAATTGATTCAAAGATTTCTAATACTAAGTCAATTTAATATGCTCATCAACTAAATCATAACAGTTCTCTCAGAAAATAAGGTAACAGTAGTAGCAACAATATTAGCGATCTGTCCTCCGATTGAGATTATGGAATTTCTTATGGTATCGCTTTATATGCCCTTGTTCACGATAGTAATAGCAGACAATATTGTTATTCATTTCAATTCATCAATTAAAAATATGTCATTTATAATACCAAAAACACAACAGTCAGAGACCAAAAAATACTGTAAATAAATTAGAAATTCTGATAAAATAAAATACCTCCTTGTACACAAAAACCCAAGAGAACCACACTGCCAACCACTGGACCTCACGCACCGCCGCACGCGCTGCAGCCAGAAATCGCCAAAATTTCTCCTTTCGGCCGGAAATCACCAAAGAACTCACCAGACAACTGAAATCCAAAAAGGGCTCGCGTGCGCGGCATATTGGTGATTTCCTGATCTTCATTTGAGATTCTAAATTTTTCAACTTGATGTAGCCAAGGGTTTTCCGCAATAGGGAGAATTGATGGCACATATCCGCAACCTGGCTATTTGGGAAATTACTTTTGTGTTAATATTTAATCATTTCGGATTTAAATCATGTTCTCCTATATTATGTACAATTAGGTTTTCTATCCCTTAGTGATAGTATTAATATTCAATCTTTTCAAAAATTCTTACTCGAATAGTATTTGAGAACAGTTACCTAGGACTTTATAAATGCCTTTATAGTCTCGATTTTGATATCATTATCAGGATACAAATTATTCTGAGAATTTTCTTTCAATTATCGACTATGATGCTTTGGAACCCTAGATGTGATATCTAAGCTGTATAAATCATCAAGTAAGCAAAATAAACCTTAATTGACCCTATATCAGTTCCTCTTGCAAGTCCATGATGAAATAAATGTTGTTAACAGTTTGTATGTCATATTGCAGCCTTGCTGACAGTTGATGATGATGAATTCTGGGAAGGGGTGTCACCTGTTGAGTTTGGGGACTTGCCAGCACTTCAGGATGCTGTGACTGTTGTAGGCTATCCAATAGGAGGTGACACAATTTCTGTAACAAGTGGTGTTGTTTCCCGAATAGAGATCCTATCCTATGTTCATGGGTCTACAGAGCTATTGGGTTTGCAGGTTAGGGGATTTCATTTCCACCCTCATTGGAGTGCACATTTTCAGTTCCTTGACTAATATCCTTGTATCTTTCTTTTTATTTTCTTACTGATCTTGTCTCTGGATTGTTGCCTTGCAGATAGATGCTGCTATAAACTCTGGAAATTCCCGGTGGCCCTGCCCTTTAATGATAAAGGGAAACTGTGTAGGTATTGCATTTCAGTCCCTTTAACATGAAGATGTGGAGATATAGGGTATGTGATACCAACTCCAGTCATCATGCACTTCATCCAGGA